TTCATTGCCAAAAAATGGACTCATTTGTAGTTTCCACTTATGGGGATTGGTTTTGAACGCGATTAGTTGCTCGTGGTCACACCGGCCGTGTCTGGTAATGTCTTGGGCGTTTTGACCGTCACCATTGTTGATTACCAGGGTCCATGAAATCATTCCACTCAGCACCTAAACAAGTTTGTTTACCTAGCTCCCATTTCCACCGGTCGTAGCAAGTTATTGCCACTTCCCTGTGTCTGGTGGCATCTTCGATGCTCAACCTAATGTTCTCTCCATCCACTAGATGTCCACTTATTCATGCTATATTCACTGCTAAAGTTTGAATAGCTTGGCAAGTCTCTGTGAAGGCACATCATAACTTTAACAATTAAGGGTGCATTCAGACTCGCATATTCACCAATCTTCATTTTTTCTTAGCTAAGGAAGCAGCGCATGCGGCAGCTCAAGCCAGAGCTCAGGAACGATTGGAGGCATTGAAGAACAAGGGAAAAGGTGGTCGCAAGCCTGGTGCAAAGGTAGGGAAACCGCGTCCCCCTCCCAAATCCTCTTCCACTCCAGGTACTGGTGAATCTGAAGTGCCTCCACCACCTCACTCCCCTGATGCCGTTCCGGAATCCTGAGCCAGTTTGATGTCTCTTTGTCATCCTCCATTCTCCTGGAACCCTCTTCTCTGTGCATATTGTGATTAACTGTTTGGCCTTCCTGTCATGAGGAAAACTGCTTTTATTCATGTGTGACAATGTTTCCTTAACTTTAGCTTCTGACTTGCATTTGACTTCAGATTTCGTCGTTTGGGTAAATGGAAATCATCGGTTTGTAAAGAAGGCGCAAATCTCCCTTTCGAAATCGCTGCTATTTGCCACTCTAAGCATTTTGACCCCCCAATGGATGGAAAAGCGGTATTTCTTACTCGTGTGAACGAATTGGTTTTTTTTCAAAAGAATTGCTTCTTTTCTACTTTTCTGTCAGAAGTGAGGTAATGTTGTTTGATTTGAGTGAGAAATGGCTTTTTCACTTTTGAATTGCGACGCTGTGTAGTTCATAGCGATCGGCTACATTGCGCCGTCAAAGTGGTTCTCGTCAGGGACTTCTTTGGTTCTCCAATTTCATTGGTTTTTGCGGGCTTGAGGGATGAGCTCAACCATTACGTTCCGTTGTGTCATCTTAAGTTTCACTGCCGACCAAATTGCTCGGTAATAAAGTAGAGTGCAAAAAGTCTCGTTCTCGTCTATTGTTGGTGCAGAAGTATTGGTCGGTTGATGGCAAACCGTGTGACCTGGCGACCCGTCTACCCTCCCTTGCCTTCTGACTGATTGTTTTTAAGGTGTCAAGACCAAATGGTAACACGTAAATTGCATTACTGGTCTGTAAATAAACTCAAGTTGGAGCAATCCTTGCGCCTGGTGTCAGTTGATGAGGGCGTCTTGTTTGCTGAACACTTGGCTGGAAGGTGCAGTTCATGAGGCTTAAAAACTCCGTTCAAGACAGCAGTTGCCATTTTGGTCCTTCTTGCGGTTTCCTCTGTTCCTTCGAATCCTTTATCGTACTTCTGAGGACTCTCTTCAATAGGGGGTGTTGAGACTTACCTTGCACGAATGTTTGCTGCATTTTGTATGGAAGTATTTGGTAAAGGTAAAATTACTTCCATTGGCATACCGCAGCACTCGCTAAGTTCCATTGACTTCTTGTCATAACCTTCTGCCCAGCCCCTATGAGGATGTGTTGTTGTTCGGCTTTCTCATTCTTGGATATAGTTTTTTTTCTTTATCCCCATCATCTTATCGCTTCAGATAGCCATGCAACATTCTGGTCTGTCCGTCTGTTTAAAAATTTTTTTGGCCAAACAACCCAGTTCCAATCAATGACGGCAAGCGTTACTGTCACCTCTGAGCAGAGTCGACGTCTATCTAACGTAAAATGCGGAGCTGACTTATTAACGCTGGAATAAGCGTTTTTTTTAGCAATTAAACACGATTTCCTGACATTTTTTTTTGGTTGTGTAGTTTAGATGCTCGACCTGTTTCACCACTTAAGCACGTATTTTTCGAAGTCATGATATCCGACTTCCATCCGTCACTGCAACTTCGCATTCGAAACACTCACCTCAAAGTGCGTTTCTTGGAGCACAGGCTCTTAAAGGAGACTTGAAGTTGGAGGCATCATTTTCCACTTCCTTAAATATCACCCCACTTTGTCTTGATTTGTCCAAAGTGGTTTGTAAATGTTAGACAAATGACATCAACTCTCCAGTTCTCCACTTGTTTCACTTCAAACTCAAACGCCTGGTAGGTGCTCGACACCTCATGATTTGTCCGTTTTATGGCAAGTTCTCGTAAGAGGGTAAAATAAGTTTGTTTTGATCCGGTTACACCAAGGCAGTTTCTTGCTTGCGTCCATGATATATACGAAAAAGCAGAAGGCGATAAAAAATACAAATGGCAGGATTAAGTTTGAAGGAAAGACAACAAATTCGAAAAGTTAACAAGTCTCACGTCCACTCTGAACCTATTTATATTATTTGAGAGTAGCACTTTTTGAATTTTTTTTTTTAGCTTAAATTATTCTACATGCAGGAGTGTCTGTTAGAGATGTGAGTTAAATTTTGTTCGTTTATTCTAGTTCGTTAATACTACTTACATATTTTATAAGTAGCGCATCAAACAAAATGAATGACACCTTAGTGAGCAGTTCTGTTTTCATATAAAAAATGTTTAGATTTTATTGTTGCATCATGAAAGCACCACTTACAGATGAGCTCTTAATGCCAAAATCAGTGGAGAATTTTCAGGCCTCCATGACGTCTAGCTCCCACCCTCGCCCTAGTAGCTTCTTGTGAGCAAATAGATCAAATCAAGGCGCTCTCAACTGACCAGATTGGTACAGAGATCAACAGTACAAAATTTATTCTCAAAGACACCGAGTTATAACAGCAATCCGTAAATTCTAGGCATTAATGCACTTTGAGGAATTGTTTTTATGAAATTATTTGATTGGATAAATGGGTAAAAGTGTATTAAAGGAGCATTCTCCACTTTCTTTTTGAAATCGTCTTAAACATTGGTCAGTTAACAGACCAAGCAGGTCAAGGGCTCACTTTATGTCTCGGTCATGGTCGCAGGTCACATCAGCGGTCCGAAAACCCCCCCCCCCATCAATTTTGGTACTCTCCCCTTAGCACCGCTCCTTCATTTCCGAAAAAAAAGGCAAAAGAACATCGAGTCATCAAGTTCCAGTTGATAAGACAATTCCCTTTTGCAAGGGAATAAAAGCTTCGGACTTTATCCCAATGCCAATTCTGTGACATGACCTCAAATTGTAGCAATTTTTTCATTGCAGCGTGAAGATAATTCCCTTTTCGTTGCTAAAAATTCATATGAAATAATTTTCAACTTTCGTAAGGTTGGAACCTCCCCTTGCATAACCTCCTCGATCCTATCATCTCTCCATTTTTAAAAATACAAAGCAAATGGTCTGACATGATAGTGAAAGATCTCTGTCGTTATAATTGGCTTCTGTGGAGGAAGTCAAAAACATTTTCTTGCGCTGGTTCTGGTAAGTGCTTTCTACAAAATAAAAGGCGTTATGAAGCACTAAGGTAAG